GATACCCAGGGCGGGGGCGGGGAAAGTGGGAGGGGCGGAAACAGCGAATGGAGGGGTGGGGAAAAGGCAGAGAAATTTAATGGAGTGCCTCAAAGTTTGATGCAAAAACGCATGATCGCACCGGCTCGCCTGGTGCGTTCCAGCCTGGGTTTCTACAGATGTGACTATTCTAACTTAATTTCAGCATTTTTATGCGTTTTTGCATATATGCAAATGCGAAAACGCATATTGCGACGAACCCGGTGTGCGTGTGTGTGTGTGTGTCTGTCTGTCTGTCTGTCTGTCCGTCCGGGTATTTCAACTCGGTACCCAAGCAAGCTCCGGCGCTAAAATTTTCCGAGTGGGTTCGCCGGCCAAGTGCCACCCCAGGACCGCGGTACCAATCCTCAAGCATGTCTAGGCCCCGCGTAGGAGCGCCTCAAAGTTTTGCGGGTAAATCGGTAACTTGAGAATCAAAAAGCTAGAAAGCTGAAGTTTTGGGATTATGTTTCCCGTCCATATAGAACTCAAAGATTTTGAATTCAGACCCCAGGTGTACGCGTTTCCCACGTACGGCCCCGTGAAAATTTTTGGCGGGAAAATGGCTAACTCCTGAACCAGGGCAACTGGGAGGCTGAAACTTTCAGGAAATGTTCCCAGCTCATCTGCAACTTAAATTTATCAAATTCAGCCCCTCACTGTGCGTGGTTGCCACGTATGGCCCCGTGAAATTTTCTGACTGGAATTTAGGTAACTCAGGAACCAAGAAAACTTGGGACCTAGGGTTTCAAGGGGACGTTCCCTGTCCAAGTACTTCTCGAAATTCGAGGACCAGTATGTCAGAGTTCCTAGCTAGCGGAATTTCGAGTGATCTTATTACAGCACGAAACACTGCAAAAACGCATGAGCGCACGGGTCGCCCGGTGCGCGTCGTCAATGATTAAATGCAGGCTCCATTTTGAAAATTGGTGTAAGAATTTCGATTCAGATAAATCTCAAATTGCAGTGGAGTCTATAATCTTTTTTTATGCGGTTTTGCATATTTTGCAGATGCAAAAGCACATATTGGCAAGGGGCTGAGTGTATTGTCTGTCTCTGTGCATTCATACTTTTTTTACCCACTTTCAAATTAAGAATCATTAAAGCTAGGAAGTGAAAACTTCGGGAGTATCTGCCCACCTCATTTGCGACCCTCCAGTTTTAATATTATCATTCTCGTGTGCCTTGGGTTCCCACGTACAGGCACCTTAAGAAAATATGTACTTTTTTGGTGGGAAAGGGATCTATACAGGACAGAGAGCTGAAACTTTGCAAGGATATTCTCTCTGTGTGGGCTAAAGATTTCAAATTCAGCTATGGCTCACGTTTGCACTGAAAGCTCGCTGTTGGCACTGTACCAATTCGAAAACTAGTTGGGAAACAGTAGTTGAAATTTCGTCAAAATATTTATCGTCCATCTGGGTAATCGTAGACCTACATAAAGTTTCGAACTGCGTTTAGGCCACACTTCGGCATATCAAAGGTATTTGTCGCGTAGTAGCGATTTCGCTTACCGGGGAAGCTACGAGGGTTTAACATGGCAGAGATATTTTGTGCTCATGCGTGATCTAAATAAAACTTGAAGGCCAGATTTCCTTCATGCGGACATGACAAATGCTCAGTTTCATCTCAAACTCAAAAGCGAGCGCGTTTTGCAAATTTCGTAATCCTTTTTTCGCATCCTATGTTGTCAAATTTGCATTTTTCGATGAACGACTACTCACCAAAAAACGACTGGGCTTTATGCAAAA